TTTCCTCTTGCCATGTTTGAATCCCAAACTGTTTCTGCAGTGAGGCTGTCTGATGTAGCAGGGGGAAATACAGCCAGCGGGGAACACTGGACCCTAATGCATCAGCTCCTCTCATCGCCGCTGTAAGCAGCTGGGAGACCTTCGTGGTCACCAGTTCTGGATGCGTCAGTAATGGGAACCGTGGGCTTTGGGGTATCGATCCCTAATTGACTAGAGCCAGGGTTGCTGAGCATGGGAAGGAGGCAGATTAGAAAGCCTTGTGTTTCTGTATGCGGGACTGCGTGCTGCCCGCCGGCTCTTTGGCTGCGCTCACTGCTGTAGAGAAACCTCAGACAGACCTCTTGGGGCTGGGAGTTTCACCCTGCTCTGGGGGGATCCAGAGACCTGCTGTTCGTTCTTCTCCTCACCCAAAAGCTGCCTGAAATGAGACCCTGGGTCGACCAGGGAGCACAGAGCCAGCCGTAGGGGAGGGCGCACGGATCGAGGCCGTAGCTGGGGTGGGCCAAGCCCTCTCTGTCTTTGGGACTGCGATGGAGTCATGCTCTCCTGGTTGTGTCTGTCATGCTGCTGTGCCCCGGCAGCGCTAACGGGAGCGGTGGGAATCTGGATCTTTTCTCTTTTGTTCTCTTCAGCAAAGCTCCAGCCTAGCCTGTGCGTAGGCTCCCATGCAGTTGTGGTTTAGTCCCTCGTGTCCACACTGAATCCAAGCCACCCATAAAGGCCACAAGCTCTGAGACTGCAGGGGAGGATGAGGAGCGACCGGGTGTGCCTATGCAGTCCCGCAGCAGTGCCACGGGGCAGGTGAAGCTTGCTGGAGCAGCGAGACCAGCCGCAGCTTGCTGTCCCATCCGTACTGCAGCAGCACGTGCCGGAGAGTGGGCCAGCATGGGTGATGCTTGCCGTTGCCAGAGCTGAGCACGACTTCAGGTCGCCGATCTCGACTTGAGGGAGATAACGGGCTTGCGCTGAAAACACTGCAAGAAATACCCCGCCAGAGCTCGGTGTGTTCAGCCGAGCAAAACAAAGTCTGAGTCAGGGCATGAGGGCTGTTTGCAGCGAGCAGGGAGCGAAGGAAAGCTGTTCAGGCTCAAGGACAGATGAGTGTGATCTGGCTACAAATAAACGAGAAACTGTAAGGCCGTCAGAGCAGTGGGGGCCTGGAACAGGCTTCCCATGGGAATAGCAGGAGCAGGACGGCCTACACACTGCTGGCAT